AGAGCGTGAGCTTGAGCCGCCATGGGGCTTAAATAAAAGCCCCATTGAAATAAAGCCGTTGGCTCAATAATTGCTGATACTGTGCATCGGCATCACACTCCGAACGCCCGGTTAGATGCACGACCGTGGACGCAGCACCGGGACGCTCCGACCGTGGAATACCGGACGTGTCCGGTCGCTCCCTGCACCACCACGTGTCCTGTTTCAATCCCAAGTAACCGTTGTACCTCTTTGGTCGACGACCGGACTCTCACACCGGACATAGAAACACAAATGACCGGATCGCTGAGCCGCCAGTCCGGTCGAGTCTAGTAAGCCACCAGGGCCGACCAGACGCGTCTGTTAGAAACTAACCGGACGCAGAGCTCAGCGTCCGGTCGATTACAGTAAGCATCCATGCTCGACCGGACGTGTCCGGTCACTCCGAACCGGACGCTACCAGCGTCCGATCAACTATAATGTCGAACACTGTTTTTCTGAATTACACCGGACGTGTCCGGTGTGGCGACCGGACGCGTTCGGTCGCTGAATTCGTCGCCAAATACCGGACGTGTCCGGTCACCATACCGGACGCGTCCGGTCACTCTATAACCAGCGCGACTAACTCATTTTCAACTCTATCTTCTTCACCCTTCCTCAAATGTGCCAACCACCAAGTGTATCACCTTGTGCACATGTGTTAGCATATTTTCATAAACATTTTCAAGGGTGTTAGCACTCCACTAGATCCTAAATGCATATGCAATGAGTTAGAGCATCTAGTGGCACTTTGACAACCGCATTTCGATACGAGTTTCACTCTTCTTAATAGTACGGCTATCAATCCTAAATGTGATCACATTCGCTAAGTGTCTCGACCACTAAAACAAAATAGCTCCTACAATTTATACCTTTGCCTTGAGCCTTTTGTTTTTCTCTTTCTTCTTTTCCAAGTTTAAGCATTTGATCATCACCACGCCATCACCATCGTCATGATCTTCGCCATTGCTTCATCACTTGGAGTAGTGCTACCTATCTCATAATCACTTTGATAAACTAGGTTAGCACTTAGGGTTTTATCAATTAACCAAAACCAAACTAGAGCTTTCACCTCCCCATCACCCCCGCAACCACCACCAACAACAATGAGAGGCTACTGTGGAGAGGGTGCAACACAATTTGCTATGTGGCCACACTACTAGGATGACTTTATCTTATTCACATGCCACATATATGTGTTTGTTGTTTGGTTTAATTACCTTAGGCATGTTAGGTTTAGTCGAAGGAACTCTATACCTTAGTTCGGTACACGTTCTCACATGCCATTTCATGTGTTTTGTGTATTGAATTATATAATGCCCTACTTCGTTAGGTTTTGTTTGCAGCACGTGATCAAATTTCACTACGTCCGTAATCTTAAGCTGAATATTATGACCACAAATAATGAAAACAACCACATAATAAAAAGTCCAATACTATGCCACATAAAACAATATAATAATACTAGAAGTACGTGCCGACAGTAGACATAGGGGGCAAATGCACTTTCAAATCCTCAGTCTAAAACATACTGAGTAAGCAATTCATCATCTGAGTACTAGTCATCTACCATAACCTTGTTGTTGTGGCTAGGCTCACCTGCATTGCTCTGACCTGCCTGTCGCCTATAGTAAGCGGCCTCTGCTTCATCTATGGCCTCTACGGCCTGAGTGAAGAACGCGTCGTCATCCTCCTCCGCCTGCAAGCCCGCCTCTGCTAGAGCGATGAGCTCACTCAGTCTGCTAGTGTCATCCTCAGCCTCCTCCGCCTGTAAGCCCGCCTCTGCTAGAACGATGAGCTCGCTCAATCTACCAGTGTCGTCCTCAGCCTCCTCCGCCTGCAAGCTCACCTCTGCTAGAGTGATGAGCTCACTCAGTCTGGCAGTGTTGTCCTCATCCTCGTCCCCCTCATCAGACAACACAATCGGTGATTGAACGGTGCGACCAGCTCGCGTTCTGTGCTCATCTAACTTCTTTTCCTCATACCTTGCACAAGCCACCTCTCCGTCATGTTTCTCGCTGCATCCAATCTCTTCATGTATAAAATGCAATCAGTTAGCAACGTGATTATATTACATTTAAAATCAGGCAATGAAAAAAAAGGCTTTCAAGCACTCACTGACATATAATGCAACAACATGCTCGTTCAAGACCTGCATTTGTACTCTTGTCTCCTCCCTTGCCTCCTTGCTTGCCCTCTCCTCCTCTAACACCCTCCGTCTCTCCAATCCCCATTTGTCAAGCCCAACATTGATCGGGTTACGAATACCGCGCTGTCTTGTAAACCCACGCATCTTGTCTTTGTGATGTTTAACAAATAGGTTGACGTAGTCAGGTCCATATCCCCTCTTCCATGCAATTACTTGCCTCCCCTTCAGTTCATCCAAGAACTTAGCTTGACCATCATAACATTCCCACCTGCATTTCCTAGTGCTCTATTCAAACAAAAAATTATATCATATATGTCTTAGCAAAAGAAACAAAATACGATTTTCTGTTTACCATAAAAATAACCAACCTCATCATAGTCAACCATATGGCCGCTATAATTGCATATTCCAAGCTCCGAAGGGACTAGACTGTAGTTGGATTTAACACCACATTCGCACTTGACTGGAGGTGCTTTGTAAATTAACATTTCTTTCTTCTTTTCCTTTGCCTTTGGTGGCTCCGGCCATTGATTCTTAGGACCATAGAGCCACTCCTTGAATCGACACTTCGCAAATCCATACACCTAAAAGAGGAGACATTAGTACACGCATACATAGAGCTAAACATTTAAACAGATACACTTTCCACTTCCTTTATGTTTGTTCGGACACACAAACTCCAACGTATTCTCAGGGTTTATCACAACTCGATCTCCGCATTCGCACAGAGGAGGTTCCTCGAGTCGTCTAACTGCGGCTAGGTGCTTCTCCTTAGCCATCATTGGCGGGGGGTAGGGGGGTGGAACCCACCGCTTGAAGTGCTCACGTGGATGTCTCCCTCTAAACCAATCGTCGAAAAGAAGGTACCTAGGGTCAAACTTGTCTGCACCGTCGATCCACTGAAAAAAAAGCACCTCTCATCGTCCTACACAATAAGATTCCAACAAAATATTAGTAGCATACTTACACAAATAAAGAAAAAAAAAGATAGTGGAAACAATTTCTTATATTAAAACGACTGCATGTGTAAAAGCAACACACCGCTGTGTCTGGATGTTTCGATTGAAACACGTGGGCTGGGAAACCACAGTCACAGTTAGGGACAGGGAGGTCAGGAGGGACGGGGGCATCTTTGCTAGACGCGTCGGGGTATAATTCTCGAGGACGACCCCGTTTTCGCCAAAACTCCCCCCGATATATTTCTTGCATCTAACAAAACGGATATAATTTAACAAACAAAAATCAAAACATCACAAATTAATGTCAATGAGAACCATAACTACAATACAACCAATTTTGTTCTAAGAACCGAAATCAATTAACATTAAACCCTAAACCTAGTGTTTCCAATATTGACCCCGTTCGCTTGTCTTAAATTTGGCTTGTTCGGCTTATTTTTTCAGCCAGAACAGTGTTTTTCTCTCACAACAATTCAGCCGGAACAGTGTTTTTTAGCCAGTTTCAGCCAAAGTTCAGACCAGCGAACGGGGCCATTATGCACAACAATGAACCCATAACATAACAACATGCGTTGCGGTTACCTAGGTATAATACAAATATTAAAATTACATGAAACCCTAAGTAATGACGATTCTTAGGTTCAAAAATCCGACTAATATATACCGAATCGATGCGAAAAAAACTAGGAGGGGAGCGAGGATACCTTGCTCTCGAAGATCTACGGATCAAATCAAAGTTTTCAAGGTCCAATATGCCGATTCGTGAGGTAGGGCGAAGTGGGGAGAGAAAAAACCTAAGAGGGGGGAGAAAGAAGAGGAAGAAGGCTCGGACAGGAAGGTTGGGGCCGGGGTTAAAACACCACCTCGGCGCCATAGATCTTGGCGCCAAGATCTACGGCGCCGAGCTCGGCGCCAGGAACTACGGTGCCAAGCTTGGCGCCAGGATCTATGGCGCAACTGGCGCCGAGCAGCCTACCATGTCACCGCCACGTCTACTTCGAGCCCAAGAGCTCGACGCCAGCAATGATGGCGCCAAGCTAAGGGTCTAGATTTTGAAATCTTACCTCCAGAGGCATATTTGTGAAAAAATTTCAAAAAATGGCTAAAAATAAAAAATCCAGGGGTTCTGGCTCGTGATGAAGCACAGTGACCACAAAGAGTAGATCCGTGGGTTATTTTTTTTTATGGAATCTGGGTTGGACTTACATAAGTGCTTGTATTTATTTCAGGCGCAACGGTGTGCCCACAATAAGGTGCATTTGGTGACTTTATAAATATCAATTGAGAACTGTCGGTCCAGTTTTTTAGAGACGCTCATAGAGATAGCCTGTGTCTACGTTTATAGGGACGAGAGTGTATGTGTATAGTGTATTTAAAAAAGAAGTATATGGACTATTTTGGAGTAAATTGGGAGAGGTAGTGAGACAGGCTATTTTAGAAAGAAAATGACTGATTTTTAGACCAACTTGATATGCATATTCAATGAATGCATCATATACTCGACTTCTTTTACCAAAACTTTTTTGTGGATGCCGTTGCATATATACTGCGCCAAGTGTTGTCCAGCTATTTTGCACCCGAAATACTAGTCTTTTTTTAGCCTTGTCAGTGTGCTGAAAGCCAAGACCTTATTACGAAGTGTGAAAATTCCGTGTGCCGCCGTTGAGTCCAGGCAGCTACCGTACACACACACACACACACATATATATATATATATATATATATATATATATATATATATATATATATATATATATATATATATATATATATATATATATATAAACACAAGGTGACCTGGTGCTGTTGGCACAAACTACACTGATTCAGTTTTTGTCGAGAGACACAGAGACACTTGAGTGAGAGACTATATAATGGCTGTCATGATGATGAAGTACATGCCTCATGCTCAGATGATCCTGGCGCAGGTCTTGGGTCTTGTTTAGATTGGGGTTAGGAATCAGTATTTGACACTGTAGCATTTTCGTTTATATTTGATAATTATTGTCCAATCATGGTCTAACTAGGCTCAAAAGATTCGTCTCGTAATTTACAATCAAACTGTGTAATTAGTTATTTTTTTTATCTACATTTAATACTCCATGCATGTGTCTAAAGATTTGATATGATGAAAAGAAAGCGAAAAAACTTAAATCTAAACAAGGCCTTCTTCACGCTCCTCTACTTCATCACCGAGGCCGCCTTCAACAGGGGGCTCAACCCCTACGTCTACGTCACCTACCGCTACCTCCTCGCCGCCTGCATCCTCTGCCCATTCGCCTACTTCTACGAGAAGTGTGTATATATATATATATATATATATATATATATGTTAACAACAATACTGCGCCGCTCTTGCTTTATTCAGATTAATTGGAACAAAAGCTTGGTCATGATTCATCTGTGTTAGATGTCTTCCTTTTTTTGATCTTGTATGCAGGACGTTGAGGCCTAAAATGACACTGATGCTGTTCCTAGAGATATTCGTACTGTCACTTCTAGGGTAAGAATATATACATATGTTTTCCTGTTTCGTTTTTCTCTCCAACATGTTTTTTTTTTAAAAAAAGTAGTAGGAAAACATGTGCAGGGGGAGCTTAACTCTGAACATGTATTTCTCAAGGTTGAAGTACACATCCCCAACTTTTGTCACCTCCATGATAAACACAGTGGCTTCAATCACATTCGTCATCGCCATCGTCCTCAGGTGACCTGACCTGACCTAGCCTTGTCTGATATATATATATGCATGCGAAATTTCAAGAATTGGTTTGGTTGGCTGGCTCATGTTCATCAGGATGGAGATCGTAGACGTGATGACCCTGCGAAGGATCGCGAAGATCGCAGGGACCATGGTGTCGTTGGCCGGGGCGACCACCATGAACCTTTACAGAGGAGCGGCGGTGAAGAGGCTGTGGAGGGCGCCCATTCACATACACGGCACCGGCGGCAGCGGCGGCGGCGTTGATCATGTGGTGGCACATGAGAGCTGGGTGAAAGGGTCGCTCCTCGCGCTGGCAAGCTGCATCTGCTGGTCAATCTGGATCATCTTGCAGGTGCCTAGCTTATCCTGCTTCTTCCAGTCCAGCTACTCTCGTAATCTGGTACAGCCATAAGCTAGCAACAAGTAATAAGGCATGGTTGGTTCACACATGGTGGCATGCTGCAGGCGTCGTCTATAAAGAGGTACCCAGCCAAGCTGTCGGCCTGTCGCTGACGGCATGGATGTATCCATGGTTGGAGGCCTGCAGTCGGCGGTTTTCGCGGCGTTCGTGCAGCGCGACGTCGAAGATTGGCTCATTGGCTTCGGCCTCAACTTCTGGTGCATCGTGTACACGGTAGGTATATAGTCCTTCACAAAAGTTATATATTCTTGAGTGCTGGCTGAATGAACAACTGCAGACTGATATGCAGACTTGTTGTTTTAGGCAATCGCCTGCAATGGCCTGACTGTGATCATTCAGCTGTGGTGTAACAAGAAGAAAGGCCCTGTGTTTGTCACCATGTTCAATCCCCTCCTCACCGTCATGGTGGCCATCCTCGCCTATGTCGTCTTTGGTGAAAATCTCTACGCTGGAAGCGTGATTAGAGGCGTGCTTGTGATTCTGGGGCTTTACATGTTGCGGTGGGGCAAGGACAAAGACCAAGAGCAACAACACTGATCGGAGGGCAAAGACGAGCATGAGTCTGATGAGCTGGACTACTGCGAGAAGCAGGTGACAGCAGTAATAAGCGACCATTTTGCAGCACGGGACGACGACCAGGCACCAGAACGGCAACGATAAAACCGAATTAACATATACGTGTGACCAATTAATCTACAGAACTTGGTATTGTTATTATAAACATAAGCAGGATTCAAACCTTGATCGGCGAGTGTTTGAAGTGCGTCGTCCACTTCTCCTGTACAGGCTCCTCGGGAATATGTTGCCCATCATGTAGCATATATATAGTATAACTTTTCTCGTTCTTTCTTTTCTTTCTCTTTTTTTTTCTTTTTTTCTTTTCACGTAAAAAGTTATGCACATAAGTTATGAGTATAACTTTATAATTTTTTAAAAAGGGAAAAGTTGCAAAAATATTTTTTTCAGAAAAAGGAAAGCCAAAAAATTATAAAAGTTGTGGGTATAACTTTGTAACTTTCCAAAATTAGAAAGTTAGGGAAGCTTGAACTCTATCTGTGATCCTTTAGAGATTTGTCTCACAAGGATCGATTGGGTAGGTCGCGCCTTCCGGTATGTGATCTTGGCAAGTCTAGGCTTACTAGAATCATGTATCATAGGATGTAATTCTTTTTACACAATTCCTATCTATCAGTCGCCTGATTTTTTAAGTCCATTCAGGCGACGCCGTGCACTCGTGCCATCACTGGTGTGTTCCGTGGTGCTAGAAAAGCTGGTGCACGGTCGGAGCGACGGACGCTGTATCGCTGTTGCAGCACGCGTGCACCTGCGAATGCTGAAGCTATGCGATGGAGCATGTATGAGGGAACAGAGGCGGATTTGCTTGGATGCTCCTATCATTAACGTGCTGAGTTCTACTAGGCTAGTAGTAGCTTGATTGTTTTGTTAATTGTTTTTGTGTCATACTATATTAATTTTTTGTCCTTGTTTACCTATAGAAAATAATTGTATATTGTTAATTATCTTTGTGCCAACATAGACCAAATTTTTTTAGGTTTGTGGTTTTGTCTTGCGGGTTTTTTATTCTCAGACCTGGAAATTGCAGATTACGGTTACAGAAATTGCGTAAACTAAAGCTGCAATTTTAACATAAAACATGTGCAACAACCGTCGCCTGAAATGAAGTTAAAATTCAGGCGCAACTCCCTTCTTTTTATTTTTTTAATGAAACACGTGCTCAAGCACATACGCGAAAAAAAAGAAATATCTATACTTTAATAGTGCAACAACTGTGCATGAGAACAAGTGCTCCAATTCGTTTCTATTTCCTCATTGATAGGATGCAACCTAGCAATATGGAAATACCATCCCATCTAGCACATCAGTAATATATAGACCGCGTTTCATTGTTCGAGGAAACACACACAAAAAAAAAGAGGCCTCTAAACCAACAGGGCCTTCTTATTGGCAAAAGCCTTATACTCGTTTAGGTTCGATGGATCCTCCTCCGTATGAGAGACCCACAACCATAAACCTTATCTTTAGACACACTTCTATTTCAAAATCTAAGAACTTAAAACTCATATATGGGACTCTCGAACCAAAAACTTTGAAAGGATCAAGATGACAAAGAGGGAGGTGAATTGGGCTAATTCTAAATTTCTTTGCAATAATTAAGTCCTATGGATAGCCCAATTAACCCCTTGTCCCTAGAGAGTGTTTCTATTGATCTACCGCACAAAAATTTAGCAACCTATGTTCCAATCCTACTCTAACATGCCAATTCTATGAATGTAAATGACAAGAATTGAATTGCTCAAAATAAATGCTCAAAGTAAAGAGAGAAGGAGGAACGCGGCGATGTTTTGCCGAGGTATCGGAGAGTCGCCACTCTCCACTAGTCCTCGTTGGAGCACCCGCGCAAAGGTGTAGCTCCCCATTGATCCACGCAAGGATCAAGTGCTCTCTACGGGTTGATTCTTTGACACTCCGTCGCGGTGAATCACCTACAACCGCTCACAACTTGAGTTAGGTCATCCACAAGCTCCGCCAGATGATCACCAAGCTCCCAATCACCACCAAGCCGTCTAGGTGATGGCGATCATCAAGAGTAACAAGCACGAACTCTCACTTGACCACGACAAGCCTAATGAGAAGGGTGGATGCACACTTTGCTACTCTTGCTTTCACTACTGAGGGCTCTCTTTGGGATTCTCAAATCTCAATCACCTCACTAGGACCTTGCTCTTCTTGGAACTCTCAAAGGTGTTTCTCAGCTATTGAAATGAGCAAAAGTGCCCCTCTCTGGAACCTTACTAGAGTCGACCGGACGCTAGCACCGGTCGCTCACCTCTTAGCGTCCGGTCGCACCAGATGATTTCACCTTGATCAAATGAACTGACCGGACTCTGTGCCAGCGTCCGGTCACACCGAAACCAGCGTCGGGTCAGTATTTGACCCTCCATTCACTTTCAACTCTCGATCATACGTGAATGAAGTTTGCTCCAATAGATCTAAGGGCTTTTTAGGAGCTACCTAGTGCTAGATTTAGCAAGTGTGCACCACACCTAACCCACTAGACTCACCTAGGCCAAGCTACCCGTTCATACCCCTCTTAATAGTACGGCCAAAGGAAAAACAAAGTTCTAAACTACTCTAAGTGTCTCTTCAACTCCAATCGACACTTAGAACTAATCCATCCTTAACCTTGTCGTCCATCCTTTGAAAACCGAAACGATTTCCATCGTAGGGGCATGACCACTATGATAGCACAATCGATCTCCATTACCGTGACCTAACATAATTGCCTCTGCAAAATACACGTTAGTCACAGTAATCATGTATTGTCATTAATCACTGAAACCCAACTAGGGGCCTAGATGCTTTCAATCTCCTCCTTTTTGGTAATTGATGACAATACAACCTCGAGTATGTAAAAGAGTTGAGGTTTTTTAACATGCTTGGATCATATAAGCTTTTAGCAATAAGAACAAAGGAGTTAGGTAAGCTTATATGACCCAAGCCAACATAATGTACTCTAAAGATATGAAATAAGCATGAGTACAAGTAATAAAGCTCATTTGCATCGGAGTAAAATGCGGAAGCAAAGCAAATGAGCATAACACAAGTGATATGACATATAAATGATTCAAAGTAGAGAGCACACATGTCACATATTACATAAAAATCACGATCACATTAATATCACGATTACTATCACACTTAAGTAGTTCAATGCATAATAGTAAACATGAATGCATAATGTATCACATATAAAACTCCAAATGTAATAGATAAGCTAATAGATAGACTCCCCCTAAATGAATCGCTCCCCCTAAGACTAACATACTCGATCCCTCTCCCCCTTTAGCGTCAAACACCAAAACCTAAGGGTCGGTCGGCGGGGCTGCAGCGGACGAGTGGGGCACTGAGGTACGAGGAGCGAGCTAAAACTATGTGCCATCATCATCTGACCCTGAGCTCTGAGCTGTATGACCCTCTATAGCTGGAAGAGATGCTGAAGCGGTCTGGGTCGGATCAACAACTGGTGTTGCCTGCTCTGATGATGCAACTGAAGAATAGAGCGTCTCTGTAGTCCCGGTAATAGGTGCAACTGTGGAAGGACCTAGGACATGTAGCTCTGGTGGTGTAGGCTGCCCAATCAACTCACTGAATGAAGCACCAAGGCTCCTAGAAACTAGGGTGAGAACTGATGAACTCTGAGGTGGAGTAAAGCCCGTATGAAGAGGTGTGAACTGTAGGGCTGGCACTGACGAAGCAAACCACTAGGGCACCTGCTCTGTAGGTGAAGGAAACTGTGGCGCTGGAGGTCCCTGACTTTGAAGCCCACTGGGCTAAAAAGCTAGAGTCATAGAAGTGGTGGCAGGCTGACCAAGCTGGGGCGAAAGCTGGGGCAGTGGAGCCCCAATAGCTGTCACAACATGCTGCATAAACCCAAGTAGATGTTGTTGCATGAGAAGCTGCTACTGATGCATGGCCTGCTGCTGCTGCTGCTGGATCGCCTGCTGCTGTCGCTGGAACTCATCCTGCCTGGTCTAAAACTGTGCAAAAGTAGCGGCGGTCTCCTGTGCCTGGCGAGCCTGATCCTGCCTCATCCGCTCAAGGATAGCAAGTAGAGCGGGGTCTATCTGCGGTGTAGGTGGAGCTGAACTGGAGCTACTGGCCTCATGGTCATGTCATCATGGAGGCATCTGAGGAATGTCCCGGTAGTCATCATCTGAGCTATCGCTGGGATCGCTCTCGACCATCCCCTCCTGCTAAGCATCAAGCTGCTCCTCCTCTATAGCTGCTATGCCCCTGATGGTCTCATCCTGCTGGGCTACAGTCTCTGGCACCTCTGGACGACAACGTGGCTGGCTGGGTGTCCTCACTGCACTATGGCAGATCATCTGAGTCATGTTGTATGCAGGGAACTCTGTAGTAGCACCACTATACTCTGCCAGCATCTTAGGTGGCCTCACAGTAACTGCCCTGTGGATCAGGAATGTAATCTAGTGAGCATATGGCAGCTGCCTATGACCCCTAAACCCCTCAGCAATAGTATCCTCCATCTCTGATAGAAGGAGATCCCAAATGTCAAATACAGTCTGCTGCATCAAAGAGTTCAGAAGCCATAACTGTATGCGAGTCAAGCCCTCGTGATACCCCATCCTCGGAAGCAGGGTCCTCCTTGTAATTGCATCCAGCACTCTAGCTGTAGGAGTGAGATCACTGGGTGTCCTGCTCGACCCCTCGCCAAAAGGCTTTGTGAAGCAATGGCGGACAAAATCTGTCGGAGGCACCATACCGCCATGAGGGCGTCTGGGAGGCGTTGTCTGTCCATAGCAAACCTCATGTAGCCAGACTGGCTGCTCCTAAAGCCTGAGAATCTCCCTGACCCTAAAGCTCATCAGCCTGTAATATCTGCCTCTGAAAGCAAAGTAAATGAATCTGTGATGTGGGTCAATCTATAGTGTAGCATAGAACTCACGGACCCAAGATGCAACATATAAGCCGGTCCATCCGAGTAGATCTGTCAG